AGCTTTCTAAATATGCTTCTTTTAATGGAATAATAATAGGTGATGGCAAGATTAAGTACATTTGGAAATATGAATATTCAAGTATTGGTTTTGTAGGGATTTATTGTTTGATTGGTTGTAGGATTTCACCATAAGATGACATCGGTTAGAGAACCATTGGAAAACCAGCTAGGAGTACTGGACAGCTGTTTCGTCCCACTAGTTTGGGTCCCTTCGCAGTACTCACCCATCTCACTAGGGCTCGAACCCAGTACTTTCTGGTTACAAGGCGAGCGAGCTCGTAGACCATTAAGCCACTGGAAACCGATCCAGTGGCCAGCCCATGATGAAATCCTACAACCAATCTAACAAAAATCCCTACAAAACCAATACTTGAAAATTCATCTGATGCTCACTAGAGACTGGCTCTATTCAGACAGTTACCCACTCAGGTTCTAGTGTAAAGCCGTGATCACTGGGGTACAGCAGGCTTAAGGCGAAGACAGTTACTCACCGAAGAAGACATTGCGAAGAGGTCGCTCTATGCCATGAATTAGCGGAAGTTAGAATTCATGGACTGGCTGGTCATCCCTGTGGCTGCTGAATGGTCTACGAGCTCGCTAGCCTTGTAACCAGAAGGTCTTGGGTTCGAACCCCAGTGGGGTGGGTGTGTACTGATGAAGAGTCTTGAACTGGGACGAAACAGCTCTCCAGTACTCTCTGCTGGTTTCCAATGGTTCTCTAATTGATGTCAGCTCATGATGAAATCTTCCAACTAATCAAATATGAATATGTGGAATAAGTTGGAAAAGTAAAATGAGCAAATTATTGTCAGTAAAGTAAATAAAGTGTTAAAATGTGATAACGTAAATTTACAAAAAAAAATCCATAATGGAGCAAGATGGAAATGAAGCACTTTTGTGCGTCACATAATCAAACGAAAGAGATTGTAAAAATTGCTTTTGTATACAAAGTTACAACTCGATGTTATGTATTATCAAAGCTTCCATTATACAAAGCAAACTATATTGGACCTCTTAGATTATGTTAAAGGATGCATCCGAATCTGCTTGCTTGATCACTATGATCTACTGTATGTTACAGTATTGATTGAATAATGGCTTTACACCTTAATGTCTTTTATTCACCTGAGGAGCTGAGATGTGCTCAGACATATGGTGGCTGCATATATTTCTCGACGAATGTCCTACTTCCATAGGAGAGTGGGTGGATGCATGTAGAATTTGAAAATCGAGGTAATCTTTTCCTTAAGAATAAGGTGTTCACCAGTAGTTATGTGTAGAGTATGGTTCCCCTTAATGATCTTGTCGACCGTTTTTTCCCCAGAAATTCACTTGTCATCACTCATCAGTGTCTGTAAGTATGGTATGTACTTTGCGCCGTCTAAGTGCAAAGTACTGTTACAAGATTGGCAGGAGCCAGTACCTGAACTCACTCTTGCGGGTGAACCGCTTGAAGTTGTTGATAAGTTTGTGTATCTGGGTAGTTGTGTGAGTGTTGGCAGAGGGGTGACGGATGAGATTTCCAACCGTATAATGAAGGCTAGGGTGGCATACATCAACTTCAGCCACCTCTGGCGCCGTCGTGTCGTTCGCCTGGCTGTCGAAGGTCGGGTATACAATGCTTCGGTGTTGCCTGTCTTGCTCTACGCCTGTGAAACCCGGCCTCTTTGAGCTACGGATGTCCGGCGACTCTGCGTGTTCGATCATCGCTGTTTCTGTTGGATTCCTTGCGTTCTATGGCATCATCGCTTGAGTAATTCTAAGGTTCGGCGGCGTGTGTTTGAACACGGTGGAGATCACCATTCGTTGAGTGTCGTCATCTGGAAACACCGGCTCCGGTGGCTTGGACATGTGCTGTGAATGTCATCCCAGAGGCTTCCGTACAGGTCCCTGTTCGCTAGCCAGCCCTGGGACGGGATGGAAAAGGCGGAGAGGTGGTCAGTCCACGGCGTGGCGTCATAGGATGAAGGATGTTTGTGCTAGATTAGCATCGGTTGGTGTGTCACGACTCCCTGGTTGGGGTCCGAGAGATAGCTCGAATTGATGGCTCGAAACGTTATCAGATATGGCAAAGAATCGTAATCAATGGAGAACGTGTTGCAATTTCCTTCTTTCTTCCCTTCCTGATGATAGTTAACGAATACTGTTTGAAATTGTTAAGCATGACTATTTTCCTTCCAGATGAAGTTATTTATCCGTTCTCTACTTATATTTTTTTACTTTTGATCTATGTTGTTTTATTATTATTATGTGGCACATCTTTCGTGGTGCGATATTGTACCAAGTTTTTTCTGCGTTTAAATAAATAAATAAATAAATAGATAAGTAAATAGATGGATAAATAAATAAATAGATAAATAAATGAACAAATAAATAAACAAATAAATAATTCTTCCATAGTGTCACTACCTAAATGCGAAGTTTAGAATACAACATATCTAGGTACCTTCTTCCATTCTGTAATGGCCTTGACACAAACAACAAGAGATAACCATACTTCATGAAAGCTTCTTTCAATTGTATGGGTTCTTTATCTGACATTGTCTTCAGTACAAATTCATCGGAGACATAACTTCATTATGGATAAGATTTTATTTTGAGAAGTCACACAGTGTAGTGTTTTACAGTAATATTAACTGATGACGACGTTTCGATCACAAATTATCATTGCCACTCATAATCATATCAAGGTATTCACACAACTTTCTTGCTTCATTTATATACCTGAGTGGAATTGATTAGACATTTGAATGAAAATCACTATAGGATAATGTACATTCGGAAATAATAATATGAAATATAATATTATTCTATATTGATTTCTGTGCAAATTGCTGATCAATTCCACACATGTTGATTGCTGAATCCTTGTTCCTCTTACAAAAGGAATTTGAATATATATTCACGATTCCTTGATGGAGATGGGCTGGTTATCCGAGTCGTTTCATAAAGAAACTTATGAAAACATCAGAGAGAAAACCTGAGACTCTGACTTCACATAAGAAACCTCTATTTATTAAGTTACAATTTAATGGTGACTTATCAAGTGAGATTCTATTCCAAAGACTTTCAAGGAGTATACGTAGAACATTTTATGCAGCACACCTTTGTTTGTCATTCTCTAACCGACGAATGATTAGGACGCAAACGAAGGATAGATAGCTGGATAGTTTTGCCACATCTATGTGCATTTTTCAATTCAACTGCACCTGCAGTGACAGTTATGTTGGGCGTACTACTAGACAGCTTAGCCAACCAATGTGTTAGTGAACATCTCCCATTATTGTGGTTTGGCATAGGGCAGACAAAAACAATCCGTAGCTCAATTTTGTCACACTTAATTGATAGTGATCATGTAGTGGAGAAAACAAGAGCTTTCAAAGTAATTCATCGTATCCCACCGAATCTTTCTAATAGACTTCGTATTCGTCTACTGCACACAGCTGAGGCAGGAGATACGCATTCGAACTATTAAACCGAAACTATGCTCATTGAAAAGAAGTTCGTGCAGCCATTATCCCCCCCTTGTTGGTCTAATAAGACATAACCAACTAAAGACTTCTACACCACCCCTTATTTATATTTCCAACCCCTTTCTTATCATCCCTTAATCTTATCTTATTTTCATTATAAACGTGTTTCATTTCCTTCCCCTACAATCTAACATTAACTAATCGGTTCATTTGTTTTTACTAGCCTTTATCGACCACTTCCACCTGAACAATTGTTTGTTTAATCATACTGTTTTTCATCAGTATTCGTGTTATCACAGATTGCCTCACTTTTTCATTCTTATTATTGATAAGACCATTAATATTGCTATAACTATTATCATTACTACTATTATGACTAATTGCACAATTTATATTCACCATTGATATAAGTATAAAACTTGGGCACTGTGGTAGAGTATAATTCCATTATAGATAAGATTTTTATTTTGATATGATTATGAGCAATAAATTGTGCTCGAAACGTCATCAGTTCATATAACTGTAAACACTGTGCGATTTATCAAAATAAAAATCTTATCTATAGTGGAATTATATTCACCATCTTATTATCCTATAGACAAAACACCATGATTAGTTTATATTTGAATTTTTATTCGTAAAGTTATGTAGTCATATTAGAGTTAAGTCTGATGAGATCTAATTGAAAGCACCATATCACTGTTTGCTTAAATGTGTTGTTCTACATTTTACTATGGGAATATTTAATATATTGAATCCTTGTTCATTGAGTCTTCACACCCAACACAACACATGCAATAGAAGTGACTCAACGCAAATACCAGAGATATGGAAGATATTATTACCACCAGTCAAATCATGGGATAATAAATGATGTTAAAATGTATTCAATTCAATTCACATTATAACATTCTAACAAGTTATTTATTTATTTTGACTATAAAAACACTCCCCTTATTTCCCATCTGATTGTATTTGATTGATAACACTAATATTATTATTATTGTTATTTTTGAATGTACTTTATCTTATATTACTGATTGTATTCAATCCAATGTCTAATCGCATCAATGTTTACTCATGCATATAAATGAAGCGCGAAAGTAAGTTGTGTGAGTAGTGTCTTGATGTGATTATGTGTGGGGTAATGATAATTTGTGCTCGAAGAGTGTGGTCATCAGTGAATATTACTTACTGTATAACACACTGTGTGATTTTATCAAAGTAAATTCTTATCTATAATGGAGTTATACTCTACCACTACAATGCCCAAGTTTTACATCGTCGGACACATGTTCAGAGGAATGGAGAAAGAGAGAGAGAGAGAGAACAGATTAAATTCCCCTTTCCGTCTATGGGAATAACTTCAAGAGGAAATTTTCAGAGCCATATAGATCTGTTTTTTTTTCTTTTCAATTTATCAATTTATTTGTTTTGTTGATGCTGTGTATGATTTCATTTTTAAAGTTATGATCGAGCGGTAGTCATTACACACATTCTTTTTTGTTTATTTTGCTTATTCAAGGTTGTTCCTGTACCGTATTCAGTAGCAGCTAATGTGAAGAAATCATTTCTTGATATGTCAGTCAGTTTTGAAGGTAGTCCATGTGAGCTAAAGCAGATTCCTCGTCGAACAGATATAGATCAAGTATGTTCTTTTTAAAAAGAATAATAATAATTTATAAATTTTTCATTTTAAAATAATTAACTACTGGTTTTATTAATATATGTGTAAATCTCAATGATAGAATTCAGTCTGCACCAAAGAAAGGACTAGACACGTCACACTAGTTACTAGTGTCAAATCGGAATATCCACTACAGTCCTACAGGACGTCAATCGCGAACCCGAAAAGCTCAGTGGTAACGTCTCTCTAGACATAATAGAGATATAATAATGAATAAATAAATAATAATAATGGAGATAATAATAATACCATTAATGACGACACCGACAATGAGGAATCTAAATCATCAGTAGTAATTTCATACAACGAAGGAACCTTGGAAGCCACCTTACGCAGAATTCTTAACAAGACTTGCAGGAATAAGAGTGACTGGCATTCAAACCACCCACAAACTCACTTAGAAACAAGCTTTCTCGGTTAAAGGATCAATCCTTTGGAACAGCGCACTAAACAAGACAATTTAGTTTATCTAATACCCTGCCTGCAGTGATTGTCAGGCGAAATACATAGGTCAAACTAGTAGAACAGGGGCAGTCAGTCAGACTGGCCGAACATAAAAACCTAGCAAAATCTAGATTGGTTGACCTGAATGAGATAAGAAATCTGGGGGATAGTTCAGTTATAGCACTCTATGCAATTACACACAACCGCACAATAGGATGGGATAGGATCACAATTTTAAAATCTGATGTCACAAGGTGGAGGGAGAGATTGACAACAGAAGAATTGTTTTCCGAATCAACTACAAATACATGTAATAGGAATGATTCAACACCTGTCCAGTTGGATATCTGGAAAATTCTACTACTCCTACAACGAAAAATGGGAGAAGACAAAGAAAACTATAAAACTCAAGTTTCGAAGTCGTGTGATTATAACTGATGAAATGATTATGAACAATAAATTTTGTTCGTAACGTCATCCAGTAAATAATAGTACTGTTTCACTCACTGTGTGATATATCTAATAAACAAACCACTATGGAAATATTGGTTTTATTTATTTATTTTTTTGTCGTTCCTTTCGGGTTCCAAACGGAACGTAGTGCTTCAACACCACATTTCCACTTCGTTCTCTTCCTGGCAGTCCTTTTTATTAGCTGGCTGTATAAATGTCCACAAGTTATCATTTCTTCTGCTTCTTCACACGATCGCCTTCATGTCACCCTCGAACTAATGCCCAACTCGTTGTCTACCACTCAGGTTCCACTCCAAGGCGGCCTACCTAGCGCTTGTTTGTTGAATAATAGGTTCTTGGTAAGTGGTTCATTTCTGAAGCTCCTTGTTACTTATCCTTTCCAGTTGGCCAGCTGATCTTCAGTATGAAACAATGAAGGCAAGTGTCGACTAACGTGTCTGCAGTAGCCGGTTGGAAATACTTTCGGTGAGGCTTTCACCAGGTCCGTGAACCAGGTTAACTAGACATTCATGCATTTATTCCCCTTGATGAATTTGAATAAAGCAAGAACAACATTGTGGTTTGCGCAGAATAATATAGTACCATCATTGCTTATTTCGTTGACTTCTCATCAGCTGCTGAGAAGACAAATTTGAAGCGCATGCAATTGACGAGGCAACTTCCTATTGTCGTCGATATGTCGATGACACATTTGTAGTGTGTGTGTCTGTCTGTCTGTCTGTTTTCGACATAGAACTTGGCACAAATGTGCGGAAGTTCAAGTCGCCACACTCCGTGTAACACGCGAAGCAAGAGAAGAAAGTACAAGAAAAGCATAATAGAGACAGTGAGCAGAGGTGTGAGACAAAGGAGGAGTAATAACGAAGAACAAAACAGTTTCATTGGAGATCATAAGTCACAGGGAGTGGATGCATCTGCGCCACTGAGAACGGTTGTGAGCTAGCCATGTCACCAATTGTTTCCAACCATAGATTTTTACCGTCCCGAGGACCCCAGCCTGGAAGTCTACACCTTCCTACGTGGCTTAGACCAACTGTTGTGGATTTCATTGACTGGTGAGGCCAAGTTTTTGTTTGACCGCCGCTAGCTTTTTTCCAGTCTGACCCTATATCCGCTAACATTGCTCGTCGAGGGAGGCGATGGCTTGGCATACGTAACACATGTCCTAACCATCTCAGTCTTTGTAACTTCAAGACTTCGTCGATTGATTTCCCCTGTTTACCTAGAACTCTACGCCTAACCTCCATGTTGCTCACCTTATTATGCCACTTTACACGGGAAATAGAACGCAGTGTGTGTGTGTGACAATGAAAGTTAGGATTCCTACCCTACTCAGATTATTCAACGATGCATATACAAATATTGAATTTACTGTGGAACATGAAAATGATGGAAATTTTCATTTCCTTGACATTGTCGTGGAATACCTGGAAGATGGTAGTCTCCAGAGGTCAATTTACCCAAAGCTGACATGGAATGAACAATATTTACATTTTAATAGTTTTTGTCCAAAGTAGTCAGCTATAAACGAGCACTAGTCAATACTCTGTACTATAAAGCTAGGAGAATATGCGCTCTGCAGGGAAACTAGAGGAAGAATTTACGATTCTCGAAAAGATGTTGAAAAACAACGGTTATCCTCAAAGATTCATGAACAGATGTGGAAGATGTAAAAGCTCAAATATTAAACAAATCACAGTTGAAAAAAGCCTGTCTTCATTCAACTAGATTTTAAAGGTGAAAATATTACAGAAATTGCCATCAGAAAATTGAGTATGTCACTAGCCAGAGTCTGTTTTGCAGCTAAGTCGGTTCAGGTCATTAAGGGATATCACGCATCGGATTCCCAGATGGCTGACTATTTGAGCGTGTGACAATGACATGGAGGCGGTAGAGTGGGGGAGAAAATGAAAGTGTGTAAACATTTGTGCGGTTTACCATGAAGGAACGCAGAGAACAGATTAAAATAGCGACACAGACTGAGTTCTCCTAGTTTACTTTTTCAATGTAGTCGCTATGCTAGGTGCCTCAGTGGTTAACGTCTCTAACTGTAGCACTGGATGACCCAGGTTCTAATCTCAACGTTTTAAATACTTCTCGAAACTCCAGATATCCCTAACCAACACAATCTCTACATCTCTTTGAGCGTCTGGCTCAACCTGAGTGTCTAAGACTTAATGAATTGATGTCAAGTTTTGATTTAACCACCCCTAACTCCTTGTCTGACCTAATCACCGTGTCAACTGTGAGATTATTGGTCGAGAAAATCTGTGAGTAGACTACGGTATGTGACACGTATCATAACTGTGTTAATCGACGTAGTTTCATAACGTCATCTATAGACTTCCTTTCCTTACCTAACTAATCTACATATTACACCATATTATACTGTAACGACAGAAGACAAGGGCCAGGCAACAGATCGTTTATTGAGAAAATCAACAGATATTTATGGATTTTTTATGTACATTATTTTCAGCGGAGAAGCAACGTCTTCTGATTGGTTGTTTTCTTGCTGAAGGTTATTCTGTACTATTTGTGACCGTTTCTTAGAAAGTTAAGCCATATATCTGCGAATTGTATTTGCACACGTTAAGTCTACTGTGATTGGTTGTTGAGTTCCTCAAGGTTAAGCTTTGTTCTTGTTGTTTTTTCTCATGACTCCGATCCGGGACGTAAATAGTGACGTAAATTGTTGTCTACTAATTTTGTCTAGCAGACAGCCCTGTCACCACAATACTACTAAGCATGTGACATAGAACGCAAACATCTATGGTTAAAGGACAGCTCGGCTTCTCACGTCTTCCACTTTGCAATGGTTATGTGTCTAACAGCCTTTAAGGGAAGGACAGAACGAGCTAGTGAAACAAACTGTTGAGGAAATCTGTTTGTTCTCTAACTTCTGTGTGTGATGTGGTGGTGGTTGGTTGGATTGCAGGTCTCTTTTTAGATGTTTACTTTTCCCGCTCACTTTTTTGTCTCCATAGTGCTTAATTTGTTTTTCTCGTTTCTTTATTTTTTTTTGATAGATTTGTCGAGTAGGCATTCCTTACTTTTTTGTTGAATTACCTACTGGTGAGAAGCTGTTTGGTCGGATACCAAAAGATCGTATATCCAGTGCAAATCTACAATTTGGTCGGTAAGGTTGCTCCTTCTTCTTGCTTTGTTCTGTTTGTGTTCGTTTGTTTTCATTCCTCTACACTCTGAGGGTGGGAACATCAGAGGAGGGTTTGAACATTTATTTCTGTAGTCATGAAGAAAATAGAAGACAGATTCAGCGAAGAAAATGCTTCTTTATCAACGAAATCAACTTCCTTCAGAGGCTGTACACTCACTCGTATTTATACTTACAAAAAATATATATATATGTGGTCTGTTATTGAGTAATAGCGGTGGGGGTGACATAGTTGATATAATTACTCACAAGTGGCTTTAAAAGGGAAAGTTAAAAGTTGTAAATTACGTGATACTCAACGGAACAAAGATAGAAATTTGATAAGGTTAAAATTGCTCTTGAGTGAGAAGAAAGGTGGTATTTGAGTGTCAATTTAACAAGTGTGAAGAGCGTGTGGAAATGTACAGAAGGAGCATATGAGAGTTATAATAGTGAATTAATTATTAAAGCAAAACCAAACTAAAAGTAAAATTAAAAATTAAAAAAGAAAAGAGAAATCAAAATTTTTTACAGGGAACGATTAGTGGAGAGGTTAAGACCAAGGTAGAATAAGAGACTGGAAAAACTTTTTCTGTATACAGAGTTCAGGGTTGTATAGTTGGATCCATAGTTGGTTCCTTTTGAGAAGAAAGAGAAATCTGATCCATTTCTTATCCTCAATAATAAGGAGGATATGTTCAAGTGATACAATCGATGGGGAACTGGGGCGACTCAGACAAGTCTTCAATACAGAATGGATATAATCCAAGATTTATCGAGAAAAACATGATGTTGAGGGGGAAAGCCTGAAAGAATCCAGACGGTGCCGAAGAAACTATTATTTATGAGTGCTGAATTTTAAGGTGATACCGCATCTGAGATCCTGAAGAATCGCTTATACAGATCACTGAGGAAAGCCTTCTTTATGGCTGAGCTACGTATCAATTTCTACCACCGACAAATGATCAATAGATGTGTGCAGGATAAACTGCTGCTCTGAACTGGCCACTTCAATGTGTGTTCATAAATTCACCTGCTCCTGTGGAGTTAGTAGTTATATTGTCTGTGCAAGGCCCACACATTCCAAACGCATTTCTGAACATTATTCGGCATAGCTGGTTACCAAAAGGACAATGCAAGATAATTACTAGATTAATTCTTGAACACTTGGTGAACTCAGGCCACGTAGCTCCACCAGAGTCGTCTTTCAACATCATCTACAAGGTGAAGCCTAATGGTACGAAGGGCGTCAGGTTTCGGCTTCTGTGTATGGCGGATGCGCTGGCGATGCGTCAATACAACCCTGAACTCTGTATACAGAAAAAGTTTTTCCAGTCTCTTATTCTACCTTGGTCTTAACCTCTCCACTAATCGTTCCCTGTAAAAAATTTTGATTTCTCTTTTCTTTTTTAATTTTACTTTTAGTTTTCTTTTGCTTCAATAACTAATTCACTATTATCACTCTCATATGCTCCTTCTGTACATTTTCACACGCTCTTCACACTTGTTAAATTGACACTCAAATACCACCTTTCTTCTCACTCAAGAGCAATTTTAACCTTATCAAATTTCTATCTCTGTTCCGTTGAGTATCACGTAATTTACAACTTTTAATTTTCACTTTTAAAGCCACTTGTGAGTAATTATATCAATTATGTCACCCCCACCGCTATTACTCAATAACAGACCACTATATATATATATATATATATATATATATATATATATATTATATATATTATATATTTGTAAGTATAAATACGAGTGAGTGTACAGCCTCTGAAGGGAGATGATTTCGTTGATAAAGAAGCATTTTCTTCGCTGAATGTGTCTTCTATTTTCATCATTTCTGTGGTTTTTTTTTCAGAGTTTGGTTGCTAGGCTCATGTCCAATCTTGTTTTTTTATTCCGACCTTACTAACTGGCTAAGCGAGGTGTTTGTAGGAGTGCGTCTTTTCGGCGGAGAACTGAACTCGAACCATTTGTGATGTGACTGATGGGCATTCTACCAGAGAAATCACTGAAGCAAAGATTTTATCAAGTTGGAGTACATGCATACCAACATCCTCAAGTTTTGTTATATTGTCCCTTTTTAGTTGTTGTTGGTGATTGTAACTGTATTTTTAATGTTTTGATTTGTTAACGACGATATCGGATACTTTGGGAGTTAATCAGTTGACACACTCACTTATAGGGCATTTTGAATCAACTGCACTGTGTGATAGTCTTTTTCCCTTATTCCTTACATTCCATAATTATGGCTTCAAGTTGTGAATTTTCATTAGCGGTGATGTTCTCTTTTTCATTATAGGATGGGGTTGTTATTAACCTCATAGCCAATCCCCTTCCCTCGCTCCACTATCAATCAGTAAACTAGGTGGGGCTGAAGAATGTATCGGTCGGGAATCGAACCCCAGGGCTTCTGTGGGCTCCTTAGTCTTTTAGTTTGTAGAAGAATATTTTTAACAGTGACTTGTGCATGATAAAGTTGCTCATCGGTTTACGTGTCATTCAACCTTCAATCCTGCTGTATCTACTTCAACCTAGAAAACGAATTGGATGGTAGCATCCACCGGCCGTCAGGCAATAAAGTGTGTACCATATCACCTGGTACTTGGAATATAACTATTCCGAGGTATATGCACATATATGCAAAGTTGTATGTCGAAGACAGACAGACAGACTGGTGCCTACAACCGGATTGGTGAATATACTGGTCTACTGTCTATAGGAGTTTGAAAAAACCCTGATTCCAAACCTATCGTGTGAGGCAGTTCGAGTCACCACACTCCCCACATGTAGCACACAGATCAAGAGAAGAAAGTAGAAGAAATACATAATAGAGACAGTAAACAGAGGTGTGACACTAAGGAATAGTAATAACGAAGAACAATATAGTTTCATTGGAAATTATAGGTCATAAGGAGTGGATGCATCTGCGCCAGCCAGCCATTGAGAACGATCACTTTGAGCCATATCACCAATTGTTTCCAACCATTGCTTTTACCGTCTCGAGGACTCCAACCAGGAAGCCAGTCTACACCTTCCTATGTGACTGGCTGGCTTAAACTAACTGTTGTGAATCTGATTGACTGATGAAACCATGTTTTGGTTTGACCGCCGCTGCTCTCTTCCAGCCTGACCTTATATCAGCCAGCTAACATAGCCTGTTGTCGAGGAATGCGATGACTAGGCATACGTAACACATGTCCTAACCATCTCATTCAATCGATGTAATTTCACAGCCTCGTCGATTGATTTCCCCTCCTTACCTAGCACTCGACCAAGGCCTAACCTGAATATTGCTCACCCTATTCTACCACTTCACACGGGAGATAGAGTGCAGGCACCTATGATCAAAGACAGCTAGCGGGCCTCTTCATGTCTTCCACTCTCAATAGCCAAGTCTCACAACCAGCCATAAAGGAGGACGGAGCAGACTGATGAGCAGTACACCCGCCCTTTTGTCGACAGTCAGTTAGCCTGATATCACGTCTACGCCAGAGATGGCGTAAACTGGCATGTGGGAAACTAGCCCTCTGTATCCGTACTGAGATTTCGTCAGAGATCACCCCTTTGGCCATGGCTGATTGTGCTTCCCAAATAAGTGAAGCGGTCAACGTGCTCTACCGCCAATGGTTCACATTCACTCTTTAACTTTTGTGAAGCAATGGATAGGACCTACCTACCTGGTTGGGGCAGAGAGGTAGGTTATGAACGTGTGGTCACATGAGAGAGCTTTTCAAGAAGAAAATGGAAGCCTAACTCCCCCCCCCGCCCGCCACCTATCACCTGTCGGCCGTACCAGGGATCGAACCCAGAACCTTCAGGGTTCAAGACTATTGACCAATTGACTATATAGTCACTGGGATAAAATACATGAATTATGAATACGGATCTCAGATCATGACCCAACTTGCAATATTCTATTTATTTGCTATTTATTTATTGATTTTTCATCCTTTCTTTATTCTTACTGTCCCTCTCTTCAAGTATCGTTCTAACTGATCCAAATATCCTGAATTGTCCAGAGAAAGCGGATTGGCATGATTGTACAGAAGATGAAGAAGTGGAGGCTGATATGGCGAAAGAATTTCGTAAAATATTTTCCAAATATGAAGAGATGTAAAGAAAGAAGCACCTCCAATTGACTCCATCTCGCCCTCTTCGCGTTTTATTCCCCTTCATTATTCTTTTCTAAATATCAGTTTTATTTACTGATTGTACACACTGTTGTAGTCAGCATTGTTTTTTTGTTTTGTTTGTCTTTTCATTGGTCTCTTTGTTTTCGCGCCTCTGATCACACTTTTTATATTTTTTTTATTGGTGAGAAAGATTATTCATTCTTGTACAGAGTAATATACTTACTACCTGGCATATTCGCATATACATACATATATAGATTCTTAAATAATATATATGTATCCCTCATGTTGCTCCTCTTGTTTTTTTCTTATTCCTTTGCGTTTCGAGGATGGAAGAAGGTGCGTGTGTGTGTGACTGAACAAAGGAACTGACCCGCTTGCCAATTTGTTATAACTGAATTGAGTTGAATTGAATAGATCCCCCTGGGTACTTTGTTATGTCTGTGCCTGTTAATTACTATAACGCTAATGAACTCGATTTCCCAAAAAATAAAACTGGAAGATATGCAAGTGAAAAGCAACAAGTCGGCGATAGAAGAAGTATCAAATATACGCCTTCCTTTAGGTGAACATAGAGAGAACAGATGTGGTGATGAAGATTCCTGGCCAACACCACTAACATGAACAACAGACAACAATCAGCCAGCGTAAATGGGAGGAACCTGAAAGAGAAATAACCTCCTTCACCTACCTACCCACCTGAGAGAAGCATCGTTTCAACTACAGGCGGACGGAATTGACGAGGATGTCAAAGCAAGAATCGGAAAAGCAAGATAAGCTTTCACTACTCTTAAGTCTGTGTGGAGGTCAGCAGCACTCAACATGAAGATGAAAATAAGATCCGGATTTTCAATTCCAGTGTGAAGTCATTGCTACTCGATATACGGATCATAAAGAGCACCTCAAACAAACTACAGACACTCATCAATCAACAGCTGTCTTCGCTGAATTACTACTCAAGATCAGATGGCTAGAAAAGATCAGCAACAGGGAGGGATCTATGTTAGCGAACCAACCAGGAACTGATTGTGCAACAAATAGGCAGGAAGAAATGGAGGTGGATTAACCATACTCTGAGGAAACCATTAAGTGACATCACACGCCAAGCCATTGCTCGAGTGGAACCCGAAAGGGAAGCAGCGATTTGGTCGTCAGTGCAAGAGTGACTTCGAGGAGATCGTGTGAAGAAGAGATGAAAGCATATGGGCAGACTTGGAGCCAGGTGAAAACTTTAGCAGAGAACCGAACGCAATGGAGACTTGGGCGGGTGAAGCCCTCTGTTCGTCTAGAAACTAAAGGAAATAATAATATAAGTAATAATAATAATAATGAACTTGACTGGTTCGCTAATACTTCTATGTGTCGATTGTACCTTCCGATTCACTGAGTCATGCAAATATCGAAAGAAAAAGGCTGGCTGGCCTGTGACTGTAAGCTATTGTATTTTACATCAATTAGGGAACGAAACATTATATATATATATATATATATTATTATTATTGTATCCTTTAGTTCCTAGAGGAACATAGGGCTTCAGCTGCGCACCTCCATTGCCTTCTGTTTTCTGACAACGTTTTCACCCTGCTCCAGGTCTGTCCACATGCTTTCATCTCCTCCTCGCATGACCTCCTCCAAGTCACCCTTCCACTGACGACCAACTCGCCGCCTCCCTTTCGGGTTCCACTCGAGGGCTTGTCTAGTGATGTCACTTGATGGTTTCCTCAGCGTATGGCCAATCCATCTCCATTTCTTCCTGCCTATTTGTTTCACAATCGGTTCCTGGTTGGTTCGCTCCCAGAGATCCCTGTTGCTGATCTTTTCTGGCTTGCCATCTGATCTTGAGTATTGAGCAAAGACAACTGTTGATGAAGGTCTGAAGTTTGTTTGAGATGCTCCTTATGACTCGCCAAGTCTCTGATCCTCTGATCACAATACAATTGGCTCACAATCATGGAATGGATTGTTCTTATGGGCTGGAAATGTCTACTCTGATTTGTTGGTGATCCGATAAAGACCAAGGTGAGACAAAAGATGATGAATTGATCTCACACACTAAATCACAATATGCCTGAGAAAGGATGGATCCACATATTAACTCCATCGCGTGATGAATCACACAATTCGTGAAAAGGGATGATATACTTTTTTATGCTGGGTCCTGTCACAAGATAATAGAGTTTGAATTGAATTGGTGGCTAGCATTACACGCCCAGACATCGTCGAAGCATCTGTACAAAAAGCGGACATGTCAACCTGAGACCGAGTGCTTCGGTCCAATCAATCGACGTGAAAATCTAAAATTCAATTAATATTACCCGTTGCACAACAGGTGGTCTAGTGGTTAGCTCTTCAGCTGGCGTTTGAAATTGTGGGCACTGGCTTCGAGCCTCGCTGGAAACATCTCCACCTACTGAGGAATGCAGGTACATCCAACTGACGAGTCCCAAATAGGACGAACTGCGCGTCCTAGATTCCAATGTTAGTTACCATCCACTTACAGTTATAACTGATGGGTTGCCTTTATTATTTCATAGAGTTTTCATCAGCTACATACAACCTGTATAACAAACTATGTAAGCAATGGATATGATGTAATAATTTTAACATATTGTGGTGAGAGCTAGCTGCTAGCCAAAGTTGGTAGACATTAATGTACGTCAATGTTTATGTCCCAAAGATTGGTCGTGAGAAAATATAAACAAAGACTGATTCAACAACCAACCGCAGCAGACTTTGCGTAGGCGGATACAGTTAACATAAATGATCTGATATTCAAGAAACACTCACAAAGATATGCAAGGTTAACTTTCTGTGAGAAACAACCAATCAGAAGAGTGTTTTTCTTTGCTTGAATAAGTTATAATAATGTACATGAAAATATATAAATACGTGTTGATTTCCTTAATAAACGATCTGTTGCCTAGCCTTGTCTTCTGTTGTTACGATATAAGTATAAAACTTGGGCACTGTGGCAGAGTATAACTCCATCATAGATGAGATTGTCAGAACATAAGAATCTAGCCAAGGTAAGAATGATTGACCCCGAGAAGATAAGTAATTTAGAAAAAACCTTAGCACTGCATGTATTAACACACAATCACATAATAGAGTGGGAAATTCTAGAAAGTAATCTAGTTAGGGAGAGATAGGGACAGGTTGATTACTGAATCCTGGTTCATTGAGTCAACACCCAACAAATGCAACAGAAATGACTCAATACAAATAACAGAGGTATGTATGGAAGATATTATTACCACCAGTCAGATCATATGAGGATAATAAATAATCTCAAACTGTATTCTATTTCAATTCAAGCACATCACAACATTCCAACAGGTTCCTTATTATGAATATAAAAACACTCGTCTTATTTCCCATCTGATTGTAATTTATCAATAACACTAATTATTATTTCTGAATGTACATTATCCTATATGGATTTTTATTCAAATGTCTAATCACATCAATTTTTACTCATGTATATAAATGAAGCGAGAAAATTCTGTGAGTGAGTGCTTTGGTATGATTATGAGTAGCAAAGGTTTGTGCTCGAAACGTGGTCATCAGTTAATATTAACGTATAACACACTGTGTGACACTTTATCAAAATAAAATCTTATCTATAATTTTAACGTACTTTAACTTCCGGATAACCAAATAGTTGTTTATCAGACTGAAATAACATGCCGAAAGTGGAGATGAGACAGAAAGTATACAAAAATTTTGGAATAGTGAATTATAACCAAAATAGAGACAATAAAATGAAGGTTTTTTTGTATTTCCCAATGAATGAATGAAAAACAAAACGATATTGTTGTTGTGTTTGCTGACGTTTTGCTATTTAATGCTGCTGCTAATAGCTTTATCAAAGTAGTAATATTAAACCGAAATTTACAAAATCCACTCAGCTTATATATAACAAAGAGTTAAGAGGTGAGAAAATGGACAACTTAGGTCAAGTTAAAAGGACGTATTGAAAGTCAGAATAGGATTGAAGATCACTAAAACAAATATTTTTTTTAATTTTTGGTAACAGCTTGATTCCACACTGTATTTTTGGTACAAGTATTGAATTTTCATCGTGGATATCGGTAGCCCAAATTTCGCAGGCCGACCATAGATATCAGGTGTGGACTCGAACCCCGGACCATGTGCATGGTCGTCGAGAGTCCTAACCATTGTGCCACCGACGCACAAATATCAAAGGTAACAGTGCGTCTGTTATGATATCAAAAAAAAGTTTACTAACTTGATCAACGTTCGTTAGTCTGGGGTCATTTTCGCGTTGTCAAGTTGGTCAATTTGTAAAGATAACAAAACCAGATGTAGATTGTTGGATTTGATCAGTGTATAAAATTGTAAAAGTAGTGTGTGTTTACATAATGAAATTGCTTATCACATTCGTGTTGATTTTGTCACTTCATGGGGGAGGGTGTGTGTGTTGTAACCAGTTTAAATTCCGTTTTAATGCATCATCATTCAGACACTATTCAGACAATTTTGATTCCATTTGATATGAAGTGCTTCTGATGAAGTGAGATGTTCTTTGTGATTTCTGAAATGCTTTTTCTGGATGATGATTTCAATATTGTCAAAATCAATTTTTGTAGCCTGATTCTTTAGCGTGTAGACAAGCTATGTCTGTGTGATGATTTTTCAAGTTTTTCTAGTTCAACCGAATTTCTCGGTTGTCGAACAGATGTGGCTCTACGGTGTTCATTTCTTCTAATTTTGATTTCTCTCCGGCGATGTTTGTCTATTTTCTCACCCCTTGACCCTTTGTTATATATAAGCTGAGTGGATTTTGTAAATTCCGGTTTAATATTACTACTTTGATAAAGCTATTAGCAGCAGCATTAAATAGCAAAACGTCAGTAAACACAACGACATTATCGTTTTGTTTTTCATTCATTCATTGGGAAATACAAAAACAACCTTTACTATAATGAATATCATATACCCAATGGCCAAATTTTTTCAAACCGTTAAAAGTGAACGTGGTTTAGACGTATATAAAATAGAGACATTACATATGCATATATTATTTATTGTACATAAAGAATGTTGTAGAATTGAAGAATGGTTAATTCACGCATAGGTGACTATACTTGTGCATAGTCACGTGTAAAGTTACTCAACCAAAATGAAGCAGGTCAAGGACATAAAGATATCAAGAATGAGTGAGGAAACAGATGTATGCATTCATCAAGTTATAACTCACACACATACACACTGATAAAATGAAATTTCTACAAGTTAAGGTGAAAGAGTCAGTGTTTACCAGCGTAGCA